GAAGGAAGGAAGGAAGGAAGGAAGGAAGGAAGGAAGGAAGGAAGGAAGGAAGGAAGGAAGATTTCTGATGGCTTCCCACCATTCCCAAAGTCAACGGTGAAGCCAGCAGCAAGCCGTAAGTCGTTCACTATTTTTTTTGCCCTCGGTCATTGTTTCTCTGTTTAGATGAGGAAATTTCTCTGAAATGATGACCCAATGGGTCATGGGTTGTCTAGTATCATTTTAAGGTCAGAAATTCCTTGCTCTTGTTCCATTCCCAGAAAAGTTCTCACCAGAAGGGATTGTGATCTGTGTTACTTTTGTCAGAAAGAGGAAAAATGACAAACTCTGGAACAGCCTTATCAAAACGGGATACCTTGAAGATGTATGGGCTGCAACACCACAATCCTCAGAAATGGACATTGTGGCCAGAAAATTTTGAGAACTTGTTGGGAGAGGACCCAGTTAACAAAAGACTACTCTGAAGTTTACATCTTCTACATTTCCAAGTCCAATATCCAAGGAAAACACAGCGTGTATCTTTGTAAATCTATAACCTTGAAGGTGCTATGGGAGATGACTGAGGGGACGTACTAGCATTTTGTTACTTTCTAATTGTTATGATTTTTAAAGTATATTGAATTGAATATATATAGTATAATGAAATTGAATAGCAATCTACAAAACTGTGAAGTGGAAAGGAAGGATCGAATGGAGAAAAACATCAGTTCAAAAGTATCAGAGGACATTAAGCCTCAGTTTTAATGGGGAGAGGCTTGCACTTTTTAATAAGAATTATTGTTGTAACAGTTGTCTGTTTCAATGGTGTACAGTTAACTCTACTGACTATACTAGTTTGTCTGTAGTAGTCTGCCTGTCATATCAATGTGAAGTCGTGATACAGCACTTTTCTTTCATTCCAGTTCCAAAAAAGTCCTGGTAAGTTTCCAAAAACATATGCTATCATCAAGCATAGGACAGCCTGGGCTGCAGGAATTCACAGGAAAGGCCAAATTTGGATAGCCCATTCTAAAATTATGCAATCAATAATGAGTTCCCTCAAACATGATTTATGTCTATGCTATTGCCAAAAACAGTCATTTGGGAGATTTATTGATTGTGCTGGACTGGACTGGACTGTTGATGAAAGCTAACAATTAAAAGCAACTGAACAGAACGTGCTGTGTGAAAAACCCAAACAAAAGTTGTGTGTTTGGTTTAGGGGAAAAAAAGTATGCTTACAATAGAAATGTGTGCAACAGATGTGCTACGTAGTAACCAGGGCTGTTTTTGCAGACTGCAAAAGAAAGCACTAAATATGATACTGGATACAAAATTTAGTTCCCTGGGAATCTATCTTTTAATATACTTTTAGGAAAATGAGTAATTTATTTCAGTGTTTTATATCACATGTTTGGTATTTTGGGGTAAAATGAATATAAATCAGCAGAATGATTCAATGCAAGAGAGAATAAAGCTCTAAAACTCTTCAAGACATGATAAACAAGTCATTTGTGGCTTTAAACATTGTGTGACAGTACACATAATGTGAAGAGAGCAAATCTTCTCAAACTTAATAGTACTTCTACATCAACATTTCACTGACGCATTTACCCTGTCTTATTAATGGAATTCTACAAGGATGTCTTGATTTGTAACACTCTCATCTTTTCCTATATTTTCCTTAGTTAACTTATTTTGTAAAAAATGGGGTTGAGTAGGAAAAGTTGGAATAGCTGTCCAGTTACTTTTGATTAAGTCCTAAACATCACAGCCTTTGCAATACTAAAATGAATGATTGCCTAAATAATCCCCCAAGTATTTATTTTTAGAATAGCTATCTATGTATAGCTATCTCCTAACACCTATGGTCACTCTTTTGAATTGTCAAAATTGCAATACAATCCCTAGCTGGATCATTTCTTTCTTAGAAAAGTTATTCATGCATTACCGGCAGTTTTAGTCCCCTAAACCAGGCAGGAAAGGCTGTAGATAAAAAACCTGGAATTTTCTTTTCAATAAGTGGACTGGAGAACCATGGAAATTTACTACAATTGGACTAAGGAACTGCCCGTAGAGTGGTGTAAAACTGAATGATCTGAATGCTGAGAATGTACTGCAATTTTCACTCTTTCTTTCCTAAAGATAGGGTAAATCATAGATTGTAGAAGTAGCCAACATGGATTTGAAAGGAAGAAGCTGAGAAGTGAGTGACTGTGGAAAGATAAGCTCAAACATGATGGATGATAGATGGAAAGGCTTTAGCAATAAAGAAGGTCAGGGGTTCACAAACTCTCCAGGAGGGTCATGAGCAACTTAACCTGATCACTCTCATGCTGACAGCGCGTGAGCCATTTTACCACTCTGCCTATGAACTGAAACAATGAAATTAGTTTTACTGGGGGGTGGGGTGGAGGTGGGGTGGGAAATGTTACACAAATTAATTATATTAGGGAGTCACAAAGTTTGAGAATCTCTGGAATAGGTGTTTTTGACTGATTCTAAACTGGAGGCAGTGCAAGGCAATTGCTGTAGGAGAATGACTCAGTGCTCCATGTAGGCTATCTGTAAGATTTATAACTACTATTTAAATTATTTGAGGGTATTTGGGCTTAATAGATTTTTGTATTAAAACTCCACTTTACTATATCAATCTAATCATTACATTAAACATTTTACATTAGGAATGCCATCTAGGTGAAAAGATCAGAATAAATGTTGCACTGCATGTAACTTGCAATGTTGTAAGTTTGTTTTTTTTTTAAATAGTCACAAGAGCCACAGTCTAACTTAAGCTCCTAATTACATTCCTTACATACCTTTTGGCAGTTTAGGCTTATCAGCTGAGTTTATTATAATGGAAATATACTTGTTAACCTCCCTTGTTTCTAAATAAGATCTTAATGTCTATGAATACATATAGTTACAATTAGTTATCTGTATCCTCCTAGCTTTATATACCCATACGTTCCCCCCCTGCAAAAAAAAAATAAAAAAATTGATCATTATAATATTTTGTATATAGAGAACAGTTTACAACACAGGACCTTCTTAAAATCAGAAATGCATTCTACATTTCAAATGGAGAACATTTTATGAATCTTATAAATCATCAGTAGGGTAAACCATGGTTGACATATGCTTCCGTGAGATGGTGGAGCTAAGATTAGTGTTGCTAGTGGGTTAATGTTGGTGCAACTAAATGTATTTCTGCAAGGCTACCCCTGCCCCACTGGCATTACTTCGGTGTAGAAAGTAGAGTATTCATAGTACAGAAATGAAGGGAAGAACAAACAATCCAGATGTTAAAGACAAATCCTAATTCTGTTACTCAAAGGGAAAATATTTTTCTCCTCTAATTTCTCACTTAATTTTGTGGTTTAGCTGTAAACCTGTTGAGTTTTAAAATGTACAAGGACAAGCACATTTTTGACAGGTACTGACAAAACATTTGATAATGAAAAGACACCAGCTGCCCCAATCAAGAAACATACTTCTATATTTCCCATTTACCTTTATTATATTAAATAAATTAATGCAATATATACAAATATACTTTCATTCATAAAAATCATAAATACATTAAATTATTGTAGTACCAGGAAGAACCCCAATTCACACCACCTGCGTTTACAGATATATGGAATTCTTAAAAAGTTAGGTTTCTTTCTGTCCAGCAGTTAATTATCAATACACATTTAAAGTGCTAAGTTCTGGCAATGGCAGCCAACAACACAAGTTATCAACTGAAGGAGATGACACAGTTTTGTTTAAAATGCAATAATCTATCTGAAAGTTGGTGCTAGATATCTGCCCAAAAAAGGCATTTCTGAACCACTTCCATGCTGGATTGTTGACTTGAATTGTCAAGTTCATCTCAAGAGATTCTTTCCCTTTTTATCAGATATCTACTTGCAGCATATTCTAATGTTTAATAGCAATTTGTACCATACGTTTTATACAAAATCAGACTGCTAAAAGCCCATTCTTATAATTTCATCACCACTTGAAGTACCCAGAACACCCAATATAAAAAGATACTACTAAAAGTGCAGCAGAAACAATAACAATTCATCACACATGTCAGTTAATATATTTCAAACAGTTCTCATAGTTTTAACAGTGAAGTTAAAAAGGTGGTTTAAAATAGTGTTTTAAAAACAAATGTTTCATAGAAACCATAAATGTTTGTCAGTAACGATTGCTTCCAGAGGGGAGTTCTTTTTCATGGCATTATTGCAATGTTAATGCCTATCAAACTGTGATCATTCAGGGCTGAGTTTTTACTCCTTACAAATTTGGAGGCATATTTTCTTTTTCTGATGATGTGCCCTTTGTCCGTTTACACTTATACACCACCACAGATAAAATAATAATTAGAGTGAGGACTCCAACAGCAACACCTATTATTATGAGGATTTTGTCCAAATCAAGAGCTGGAGAAGAAAAGAAACACAGTGTCAGTTGAAGTACATGCATGCCTTATATTTATTTGAACTTTGTCCTGACTGAAGCTATACTACATTAATGGGTAATTAAATGGTGTAATAAACACAAAGCATTTCCTTCCAACCAGAAGGAAATATGAAATATAGATTTGCTTCAGAGGCACTGACATTCTGAGAAAGCTTGCACAGAATTGGGTTACAGGTAGTCCCCAGGTTAAGAACGAGTTCCGTTCTCAAGGTCTGTCCTTAAGTTGAATTTGTATGTAAGCCGGAACAGTATTATTGTATAATACTGTATAAGTGGTATTGTGTAATTAACTCGCATCATCGTGTATTTAACTCAAATTTTGCTACAATAAACACCATTCTTAACCATGGGTTGTCTGCTACCTGGGCATTCTTAACTTGGGGGACTACCTGTACACCATTAGTAGATCCAAAGAATAACCTTAGCTTAACAAAGTATGTGTTTAGACAAGGAGGACTATTATACCCTGAGATATTTTATTTGTTCTGAATAGTTCAGTCTTCCTAGACCTGTGATATTTCTGAATATTGAGCTCAATTCTTAGAGGAAAAAATGCTGGTACAATCCATATGAAACAATGAAATCAAAGAAAAATAGTGTCATTCTCTTGTGCAATCTGCGTAAAGTGATGCCATGACTGTATGCTTAAAGGCAAAGGTTAGGAAGTCACATAATACGTACTATCCAAGTCTTCCCTTTGAACACTGGTACATTTTACAGTGCTTTTTTCACTTCTGTGGTTATCTACGCGGCTTGGAACGTAAGTCTGAACATAGAAACAGTAGCTCTTCCCTTTATCAACTTCAACTTCAAATTTATTGGTTTTTGTCTTTGATAATTTCTGAAAGCAACAAAAAGGTTATTTAGAGAGTTATCGGCAGATATTCTAATTCTTCACACTGCAGCCTAGTAAATTATAGTCCACTACTGTAGAAATAGCAGTACTTTTATGATTATTGCTATTAATATGAAACAACAGAAAAGAGTTCTGAATCTGAAAGCTTACAAATGCATTAGTTACGCTTTTTTATTTATTCTACTCATCTTTATTTTTGAGAACTATACCCCACCTTCAAATATATTACTACGGAGGCTTACAATAAAAGTATAGTTGAATACTACTGCATTCAAATGAGTTTTAAAAGGCAAGTATTAATGGAGAATAGCAAAAGTTATACATTCTTAGAAATTAGGTTCTCACCTTGCCTGTACTTTGGTCCTTCCAGTAGTACAATAGGTATTCCAGATCATTTCTGAATATGTCCCTGATAGTTTGCAAGGTACCATTAACTCTGTAAGGTGTTAGTGGATCAGCTACTTCCACTTTCAGAGTTACATCTTTTTGTTCAAAATGTGTTATTGTTGGCATTCCAAGCTCAGCTAGAAAAGAAGTATTACCTAGTAAGACTTTCTTATAATATAAAAGAAGTGCACAATAAAATGTTATGTACCAAAATAGTATTTTCAAAAGGATATTATAAGTCCTGGGCAAAAGGGGCTGCATAGAACAGGGAGGAATAAAAAATGGAATATGTCCCTTTTTTTAAACCAGCTGTTGTAAGTTGGGGAAAAAACTGCATTACAGTTCTGACTGTTTATACTGAGCACAGATTTTCTTTGGTCAATTTACAATTGCTATTATAAAAATATTGTATATGACTAAAGGTAGGGAGTCATACTTTGCCCATTTTTAGTCACATACAATACTTTTGTGTGTGTGTGTGCCTTTGAGTTAGTGTTGATTCCTGGTGACTATTTGGACAAGTCCCTGCAGTTTTCTTGGCAAGGTTTTTCAGAAGTGATTTGTGTTAAGGCACCAAGCTAGAAACTGGGAGACAGTGAGTTCTAGTCCCCCCTTAGGCACAAAGCCAGCTGTGGGTGACCCTGGGCCAGTCACTCTCTCTCAGTCTAGGAAGGAGGCAATGGCAAACCAGTTCTGAAAAACCTTACTAAGAAACCTGCAGGGACTTGCCCAGGAAATCGCCAGGAGTCAACACTGACTCGAAGGCCAAAAAACCCCCAAACAAAAAAACTCAATACTTTTACAATAGCAATTGTAAAAAAAATACTTTTACCCTAACTGCTAAAATTGCTGGTATAGTTTCCCACCTTTCTGACCCAGAAAATGTACAAAAAGTATGGTGCACGTCTAAAAATGAGGTTAATATAGTTAAAAAAGAACTCTCCCCAAAACATTTTGGTCTCATCAACTTTTTATCCTTGCCCCTTACAGTGCAATCCTCGGGGCTCTCAAAATTGTTATATAGGCTTTCTGATTCCTCAAAGGTTTCTCACTCTGACACAAAAATATATGTAAGCATGAATCCTTTATCACATAACTAAGAAAAAGCTTATCTGAAACAGATTTCAGACAGGACAAATACAATCTGTACATTATGCAAGAGAAATGTGATTGGATCCTTTAATACTTTTGAAAGGAAAAAGCAATTGTGTGTGTTTCTAGGGGGGGATATTGTCTATTTTTTTTTTGAGCTTACTCTCTTGTACCATTTTCCAAACCAATACAATTGTTACATCTACATATACTGGACAGTTTTACAGATACAAGTTCCCCCATCAATGGGTTAAAAAGAAGCAAACAATTAAATCTAATGCTCTGCTGATCCAACTGAATAAATTAGCTTCCTTCCCTTGCAACATTTCTTTAAATGTTGGGAAATCCATGGATATATGTTATAGATAAAATATTTAGTCTTTCAGAACTAAATTACAAAACTGAACAATTAACAGGAAGATGTAATGCCTTCCTATACATCTTAAAAACACTCTTTTTAAGTCTTTATTCATAACCTTCTTTTCTGTGTATAAAGAGGTGTTAAAGATAGTGGAATATAAATCTAATTTATTATACTTACTTTGTGTGTAAGGTACAAATTCTGGAGAAATTTCATATGGAGGTGTTTCAAAATTATCCTCATTATAAGGTATTTCAGAATATATACGCGCTATGTAGGTATCTTTTAAATTCTGTAGCACCACGTTAGTAACATCACATTCAGTTTTATCAGTATGAATGCATACTTTTTCCCGTTTTAACTGGTCCCTGTAAAGATTAAGATCAAGGATGTAAATCAGGCATTTTATGTATATATGTGAGGAATTCAGTTGATGTACATACATGCACTGCAGTGGTCAGAAGACAATGAATATCATCCTGGCCACATACATAACTTTCACTTTGATCCATATAGTCAAAAGCAAAATGTTACATGTTTTCAAGGTCAGCAGAATCTTGCCCATGTTAATCAGATAAACAGTGTAACTAGGAAAACATGAAATGGCTTTTATGACCTTGAATATTTTGTACTTCTTCAATGAATAAGAAATAGCTGCTTTCACAGCAGACTTAGAAGTACTAAGAAATGCAACAATACAGAACATGTAAAATTATGGATAGTATCACAAAGTTAATAAGAGAAATAAAAATTATAAAACATATAAATATGAAATTAACTTGCTTACAAATAAATTGATATAAAACTAATGTAAGTACATTAAAGGAATAGAGTAACAGTCTATACTATAGATTGATTCAGTGAAGCTCCACCTGAAGCAGCATATTCAAAGCACTTCCCTCTGAAACACCAGATCATAGTGGTTGTTGATTTCAATCTGGGCCCTGTATCTGTGCATGTGACAGATTTAAACAGAAGCCACCTTCTATAAGTTTGCAGCAGCCAGCTGATTCAACCCTTCAAACCGAGGTGTATGACTCAATTTCCCCCCTGAAATTGGAACAGTCCCAACAGACCAAACTGGGAGACACTGCAAGAGGGATACAATTACCTAAAAAGTTACCTAAGAAAAAAATGGGTGTGTTTCCAAACATTAACTTACCCATCCATTTCAACTGTATAAACATAACCAATTGGCTTTGGATCCCAGTGGAGCAGAGTCTTAAAATTGACCGATGACCAAGTAATGTTAACAGCTGTCTGTACTGTAGAGCTCCCTGTGTGAAAATGGTATAGAGAGGAGTATGACTTAGGTGTTGCTCCACATATTACAGTATTCTATGTGGACTATAAATTGTTTAAGGCTCTAACAATATTATAAACACAATAATTTCTGATGTATTTTTTAAAAGCAGTCTGATTGAAATTGGAGTATAAGTAAAATCTTCCCAACCTGATATCTTTCCAATATGTTGGTCTACAACTTGCATGACCTCTCAACAAGCAAATCCATAGTGTCTAGGTGTTGCAGGAGTTATAGCTCATGTGGTTTAATTTGTGCTAATCCAAAATTTAATAATGATATATATTATTCCCTCATGCAATAGAAAGAGAGAGAGAGAGAGAGTTTCTTTGAATCAATGTTTCAGCCAGGCTGTATTCTCTGCATAAAGCAGTCTTCTGTAATTAGTAGACTTTGACTCCTTTAATCTGATCTAACTTGTCCACGGAGCTATAATCCAAAACATATGAAAACCACAAATTTGGAGTAGATTTAGAATATCTGATTCTAATCTAGTAGATTCTGCATAAGGAAAGTGTGCCAACACATTGGCTAAATTCTTGCAACATGCTTAACCCAGCTTAACAAAGCCAGCGCAGTAACGGGCACTTCGCATTATGTCCAAGAGTCACTGCTGCTACTTGAGCTGGATTTGTTGCCAGTAGGCTTCTGAATGCAATTCAAGGTGCTGGTCATCACCTATAAAGCCGTTCATGGCATATTGATTATCTATCTGGTTATCTGAAGGACCACCTCTCTCCAATGGCTTCTGCCCACCCAGACAGAGTGGGTGCAATCCAGACCCTTCACTTAAAGAATGCCATCTTGTGGGACCAAGGAAGTGTGTCTTCTCTGTCACTACTCCTGCCTTCTGGAACAGCATCCAACCCCAAGAGTTATGGACGGCACCCACTGTTCTGGGGTTCCAGAAGGGCCTTAAGACCTAGCTTGGTTCCCAGGCCTGAAGTTAATGTGTTTGTGGGACACCTGTCATATTTGTGCTGCTTATTGTTCTGATTGTTTTAGTCAGGGTTGCCTGTTTATGTGTGTTTTTAATCATTTTGTTTTTTGCTTTAGAACAGCATTTAATATTCTGGACCCAAACATATAAGCCATATTATGTCTTACTGTGCTGAAGTGATTCACCCAACATGCTAATTCAATGTCTAGGTTCCTACCATTCTCCCCAAACACTATCTAACCTCATGTTAGCCTAGAATGTTATATGAACCAAGACACTGTAATTTTGTTTATGCTAGCAAATATACAAAGAAATGGTTACCAGTTATGGTGGGCATATGGAATTTCATAGAAAAACTGGAAGGGGAACTTTTAGAACTACCTAATCTGCATTGCAGAAATCTAGATAACCATATAATACTAGCAAAGAAGTACAGAAATACCAATTCTTTGGTGCCATTTTGAAGTTGTCTGACTTATTTCATATATACCCTACTTGTGGGCCTTTCCAAGATTAATCACTGTAGAAAAGAAATATTGAATATAAGGGCTCATTGACTCTTATGTTTGTGACTTGAGAAAAGGGGAAACCTTTTTCATTCTAAGAATGCATAGATTTCTTTCCTTATGCTCCAGTTATTACCATTTTTATACTCACTACATTTATATGCTTTTCACAGCTGCAAGCTACCCAACTACAGTACATTACTGAATTATTGAACAAACAGTTTGAAATGTTCCCTAAGGTTCCGTTCCTCCCTTAGAAAACACGACCACATGCAACAAAACATTCTTTGGCAGGCTTTATAGCTCTTCAAAGCAATTATTTAGATTTTATTTGCCTCTCAGTATTAATAGATTAAGTCCTTCTTTTGTACACCTAATTTCATCAGTATCACTGAGAACTTATTCTACACTTAGAAGGCAATTTTGTTTTAAATATTTTCAATTTTTTTCTATAATCTGTGAATTTAGTGATAGCATGTTCAGTACTTTTGTTTAATGATCATGAAGATTTTTTATGAGTGTTTACATGGCACATTAAAGCATTCTAGCTGGCTAACATGAATATGTGTGTTGCCTTCTTACTCCTGTCCTGCACAGTTCTTCAACCATAATTAGTTAGTGGCTCTTCTGTTGTTAAGCATGAAATGCAAATGTGGCCAACATCTCTAGTTATGTCCACATTAGTTTCAAATTCCAGTTAGTACCAAAATCCCATTCCACATTTGCATATTACATTTAATCATATCAGATGGGGATAAGGAAGCAGCCCATTCACTCATATGAACAAATCCAAGGGAATAGTTATGTGTGAATATGAATCTCTCTTCTTATATTGAAGATTTACGGCTTAGTAAGGCTGTGCACACATAAACACTGATTGGAAAGAAGTGCTTCCAACCTTGAATGAGTGCAACTCCTGCAATTCTCTGCTATTCATTAAAGTAGTCCAGCTTTTTTGCAGGTTTTCATAAGAAGCTGCTTTAAACGGTTTATTAATATTAGTGCAACTGTTAAAGCAGCTACAACGTTTTTTATCAGGCTTGCACAGAAACCTAAAAAAGATCAGGTTGAAAGATAGGTAAATGTTATTTTTATGTGATGTCCAAAGCACTCCCAATCATTTTCGTATTGTGCACAGCCCTTCTGCTTAGCTAATTTACTTGTAATATTTTTTTCTGGAATAGATTTATCAATGCCCTGTTGATATTAAATTAAGAAAATGCATTGTTTCAATGTGACACCATGATACTAATACTGCATTTAGAATTGTACCAACATTGCATGTTATTTATAAATGCACTTAATTGCTTTGAAAACATTCTAGTTTTCCCTATTGTTAGGAATAGATTATACATTTCTCCACTAAACTTCATACTTAATTTATAAAAGGATTCAGAATATATCGACACACTTAAATCATGCTATTCTTGTTTTCACTTGAAAAATAAACTTAAATGTAATTAGAGAAAAAATATATACAAATATATCCTTAACGTTTCAGCAAGTCTTAACAGAGTATGCTTCTTGAGTGTTTCTGAAATGTCCAATACTTCTTGCCAATTTTTTCCAAAATGCCCAGAATGATGAACACTCTCCATCATTCAGGCACTTTTATTCTTCCAATTTCATTGCTTTTACTTAGCTAGCTTGAGACTTTTATGCCCAACTGTCAATTTCTATAGCCAGCTGTTTTTACTTAAGACCGCAAGGATGACTTCCAGTCCACTTCAACAACTAAGCCGTGGGAAATGGTTAAAGAAACCATACAGGCAAAAGAGAAACTACTGATTCAGAAGTATTGGTCAATGCCAGGACGGGAACCCCCAAGAAAATTCCAGCGCTCTCCCGGCGAACCCCTCCAGAGAGAAGGCAGACCGCGCAGAGACATCCCCGACTTCCTCAAATCCAATGGCGCGAAAAGGGGTTCAGTCCATTACTGTGTCTTGGAGAGGGCGCGCGCCGATTGTTGAGCGCGCGCTATTCACTCACCTGAGTTGGAGGAAAGCAGAGAAAGCAACGTGCAGAGCAGCAGTGCTGGAGCGTGGGGTGCTACCGCCGCTGAAAAATACCGCCGCACCATGGCTCGTCCAAGGCTCGGAAGGAGGCAGGGAGTCCAAGAAGCGGGAAGGCGCGCGCGTATGTCTAACTGTGTGCGAGAGTGAGCGCGCGCGAGAGTTAACTAAGAAGATGGCTTGCGCTTCCTTCTTTTATAGTATCCCCTCCCGGAAACTCTGGACAGACGGCGGATGGCTAGAGGGTGATTGAATCACCCAGGCGCTGGCTGTGATTCAGCTCCCACGCCCGCGAGTCCGCGACCGAGAGAACCGCTCCTTCTTCGTCGCTCTCTCTCCAGGACCTGGGCCAGGTGAGCAGCCTTGCCTTTGGCCCAGGTAGCTTACGGTGGACACTGGCCGACTTCGGAGGGAAAAGAAGTCGGTGAGGTGAGCCACAGGTTCACAGAGGGGTGAAGGCTGCTTCCCATCGCTCCGCCCCGTGATCCTCGGGAACGAAAGGACACGACGCGGCCAGCCCCAAATCTCCCCGCTATCTCCAGGTGGGCCGGGGGAGGGCGGCGAGAGGAGAGACGCACTGATAGTTCTAGGGGGCGGGACCTGCTTTTCTAATGATGTTTAGAGAAGCAAACCCCACTGAAATCAAGGGGGTGTACATTAACAATAGTTAATAATAGTCCCATTGATCTCCGTAGACCAGTTCTGATGAAATGTGGATCCAAGTCACAGAACTGGAAGGGAATCTCGAAATACTGCACCTTTCTTCTGCCACTGCCAATGCAACCCATAGGAAGAAGTGTTTAAAAATCAGACGTATGAAATCAAATATAAATCTTCTTGTTTTCATGCTATTTTTAATAAGATATTCACCTTAAGACGCTGTAATTCATGCTTGGTCTTCATGCAATAAGCTATAGCTTTGGCTCCTCCACCATGCAAAAACACGAATCTTTATTACTTTTATATGAGCTTCATCTGAAACTACTATCAAATCACAGATCATGGAGATGTAACAGTTATAAATCTGACAAAAGTTTCATGTGCTACAGTCAAGATGAAAAACATAGGCAGGATTGTCTGATATCCATGTAGGGATGCCATTTCAAATAAACTTCAAGATAACTTCACTCAGCAGTTTCATGAGATCCATATGCCTGCACCACACTGACATTAACAATCATCAGCTCCATTGTTGTTTGGCTATTTTTATGTAGGCAGATGTGATCTGTAATCTGATGATGCTTTCAAGTGGATCCCATGTAAAAATCACAACTTTTATGCAGATCCAGAAATTTATTGGTTTGTTTATCATATTTATATAGCCACCCATCTCACACAGAATGACTCTGGGCGATGTACAACAATTAAGTATACAATACCTTCTCTTGATTGTTTGAGATGTAAAGTGAGACCAGTGTGAGATTTGTCACACAGCTTCTCAGAAATTACTGTACTGTAATAGAATTTTTGTATTTAGTAATTTGCAGCATTGTGTTGCATATCCATGCTGGAGGAAGTTGCACAGATTAAATTTATCCTTGTCATGTAGCTTCTAAAAAGGAGGCATCTTGTTAAGAGAAAAAAGAGGCATTGTAATCTAAGAGAATTCCTAAAGTATTTTTCTTCCCTCCCCTGCATTAATTACAATATTTCTAGGAAAAACAGAAGGGAGGCTAGGGGCACCTTTGCCCAACCACAGCTGTTTTATCAGTTATGGCCCTACCTGGACCAGCATCACAAGAGTAATTCATGCCCTGATCACCACACAGTTGGATTACTACAATGTTTTCCTCATGCAGTTACCTTTGACCGTAACTCGTAACTCCAACTAGTCTAGAAGATCTGGCATTGAAAAACCATTGGGAGGTTTTCCTTCCACAGGTTTGTTATATTTTAGAATGTTTCTGACTTCTACTGTATTGCACTTAGCAGACCCTTAGTGCTCAGAGTCTGCTAAGATTGGAGCAATATACAGTACAAGAATTCCAGTTATCAAACTAATTAAATACATCGTATAAGGCCATAATATGTCATTAGTTTGATGTATAGATTTAAATTTAATTATGAAAAGTAAGTGGTATATTTAATTCTTGGTCAACCCTAAACAATGAAATAATTTGGGTAGATTGGGGTGGGTTGCATAAATTCTTTTATCATTTTAGAGGGTCATGGCGTCACATCATTTGCTCCCATTGCCTCCCCCATGGATGCCTCTGTCTTTTAACATAATATTACTTTTACAAGTTCATAGCATCCAATGTTTAAAATAATTATTTTCAAGAATAATATTGTAATGTGCTGTTCCTGATTTGCAGAGGGAAAGGTTTGAGCTCAAAAGACTGAGAAGTGTGGGTTCCTGAAAACTGAAAGAGAATACAACAGTGGGTATGATTTGAAGGACTCCAAAGATGTTGTTCAAAATGTTTGCATTTTGAAACAACCTTTTTAAAAACAATGAACTTGAGGGCCAAAAAGATAAAAGGTTAATTGGATGCAATTAATTTTTTTATGAATGTGTATTTGATGTTGATCCTGGTATACAATATCAAGATTGTATATGGAGAGAAATTTTAACCCTTTCTCCTCTTGCTGTAGCTTTAAAGAAAATATCTCTTACCAAATTGTTATTTACCTTAAGAGGAAAGTCTCCATTAGTAGAAATGGAAATTTTCTTCCTGATACAAACTGCAACTTTGGAGCAGATTTTTGCTAAGAACATGACCATGTGCTCTATGCTAACTATATTGCTCAAGTATACAGCAGTTATGTACATTATACACATTAATATAGTTAATGCCATATCTAGCACTGTATGTTCAGATATATATGTGAAAGTTAATGATTCACAGTGACTTTCATTGATTCTCTGTATCAAAATTCATAGGGCAAATAATATGGAATTCATAACATATGCTTTATAATAGTAGAGCAGTGGAAAAACTGGATGGTATTTATGTACAGTATAGTCAGTCTCACAACTTTGTAAATTTCATCTTTTAAATGTTATAATATATATTGTGTCTAACATAAGAATGACTGTATTTGACTAAGTCAGATTTCTTGGAGGCACTGTGTGGCTTTTAACTATTGTCATATGCAAATAATGCCCATGTGCTGCAAAAATTTCTTATGAAGATTATATGCAACTTAGTATGTGCATTAAATATAAAAATATCAATCTAAACATCTAAAAAGCATCACTTAACATTTAACAGCCTTGCCTAATTTTATGTCCTCCAGATATCCTTGAGTTCAGCTCCCATTATCCCTGTTCCACAATATCTGGAGAGCATCAGGTCAAAGAACATTGCCACTGAACATATGGGAAAGGTGAGGGACAAAAACTTTAGGATAATTATATGAAGATTGTATGAGTTCCAATTTGGAAAAAAATAAGCTAATTACATTTCAATTCTTGGAATGTGGGGGAAGAGAAAGGAGGAAAGTAAACCCTAGAGTCTGCCTGAAACTCCTTTGAAGTGCTTCATGTTTCTTCTTGATCTGCTGGTTCAGCACATAGTTGATGTAAATTCCTTTATATAGTCAGTTCTTTGTAATCCACTAAGAGAGTAATATGTAAATTATTTTTTATGGGCACATAACGTCAGTCATGCTCTGATCAAGTATTCTAAAAATCCAACATAATCCCAATTAATTTAATTAATGTAATTCAAGTTAAATTTCATTTTGTTATCTAATGGGCCTGTGCAGAGATCCAGATTCAAATATCAAAATGTGATTTGCAGCACAGATTAGCACCTGTCATGAATATCTTAAAGTAGTTGATGTATGATCCCAGGAAACAGTATAATTGCTTTAAGGTGTTCCTAATAGCTGTTATGTGTACATCCCATTAATTTTGAATCTGGATCTCTGAATGGCCCTATTAGCTGAACATCTGTATCTGCTACATTCGTTCATCAATCTGGCTAACGAATCATTTCAGTAGTTTAGATTCCAACTTCTTATTTTGCAAATCCACAAGCATCTTTTCAGCTTTTGTGACAGCCAGCAGAACATTTCCACGGTACAAAGGAGATCCAGTGCTTTTGCCAATTCCACCTCTTCTTATAATATTTATGCCCTGCCTGACATGCCCTGGAGCAATGGGATCCTCTGGAGAATTGGAGACTCTTTAGAGGCTCTGTTTTGAGCAGACAGAGTACAGTATATCTGCCCTTGGTAGCAAACTCTGTATCCAATTCAATTAATGCACAGTTAGTATTCTGCTGTTGTAGAAATTCCACACATTTTTTTTACTTTATCTTTGCTACAAGTTGGAGAGACAGAAGGAGAGAGAGATTTCAGCTATGTACTGTTTTCACCAGATTCCAAATGCTGGCTGACTGAGTAGATAGATAGTTAATGTGGCATAAGAAAAACAGATTCTAATGCAGTACTATATCGTTTATCAAAAATATGGTTTTCTGAGGTCATTTTCAGGAACTATTCATCAGCCTTATCAGAAAAGATTCATTTGGAACTAAAACAGGGTCTTTTGAAAGCTTGCAAAAGTTGATGAACTTCCCGATATTGCAGCAAGTAGGAACTTGTCGATCATACTACCAGCCAATAAGAAGTAAAGGGAGTATCTTTTTGCTAAAGCAGAACTGCAGGTCAAAGGACAGAGCTTGTATCTCATTGGAAAATTACAAAATCTTTACTTCTTTAGCTGAGGACAACAGAAATAATCAGCATTATGCTTTTATTTGCTTTATTTGTCTGGGTTGATATTTAAATTAGAATACTAATTTAAATTTGAAAAAGAACAATTTGACTTAAATAATTTAGTATTTCTTTGGGATAGTGGCTTCTGTATTTTCTTGTTGAATGACATAAAGCAGAGTTGTATGAGAATCATATGAAAGGTTCCAGAAAATAATAAAGTATACACAAGCTAAATAGATGTAGTTTATATTTTTGGTTTAAGTATATAGCTCTAAGCATATTAAATCTTGGTGCAGTCCTAGATAGTGTTAATCACAGAGGCTCAGCTGGTTAGGGTTAGGTGTTAAAATCATTGCAGTTTGACAGGCTTAATTCACTTGTTTTTGGTTTAAAACAATGCATGAATCTAGACACTGTAGATTAGTATCAAAGACAAACAAAATAATTATGGCTTGGTTAATGAAACTATGATTAAAAAATCTTGGCTCAATATAATGTGTGAATTCTGTCTATGTCAAGTCATGAACATTCAGAGTGGTTTTCAATGGGAGCTTGTGACAGAGCATTGAACATTTATTCCTACATCCTGCTTCTAATCCATAGCTAATGCTCTTTTGTAAAAGTATATCCTGTTGAATGCAGGGAATGTTGAAATAGGTGGTAAATATCCCCCATAATTAATTGTAGGACACCACATTTATTATGCAATTCCCTTCCCTTCCCTTCCCTTCCCTTCCCTTCCCTTCCCTTCCCTTCCCTTCCCTTC